GCTCACTTCCCTATATATATATATATATGCTACTTTTAAAATAAAATAAAAATACTGTTTTTAATTTTTTAAATAATATACAGGAGTAATTAAATATCTAATAAAATGCCTAAAAAATTCCACATAATAAAAAAAACGATTTCGTTATATTGAAAATAATTTCAATGTTATCCCTTTAAAAATTTTCATTACAGGTAGAAATATTCGCTGTTGGGACACTTCGTTGTAAAGAGTCTCTACTGTAATTTGTGGAATGACTTCAAAAAATTTGAGAAAGTTAATTAATTTTTATTTAGTCAGTTCATTTAGTTAATTTTATTTAGTTACCAACGTCTGAAAAATTCCATGTAATGAAAAAACTATTTCGTTATATTGAGAATAATTTGAGTGTTATCCGTCTTAAAATTGTCATTATAGGTAGAAATTCGCTGTTGGGGCACTTCGTTGTAAAGAGTCTCTACTGTAATGAGTGGAATAATTTGAAAAACCTGAGAAATTTTATTTATTTTCCGGGTGAGGTTTCTGTGATGTTGTTACACATTTTAATTAGAAGACGAAAAGAATGCACAATAGATAAGTTCGTTCTAAAAGAAGGGGGGAAATTATTGTGATGAATAAAATCATAGGCTGAGGCGAAACAAGGTTCTATGGAGGTCAATAAGTAAGCTTTCTGAGAGATAGCCTGCAGCTAATTTATACATCCGTGTTCCATTTTCATAAATAGTCGCCAACAGACTACTGAATGTGTCTCACTTTAAAATATTCTATTTCAAAATAAAATATATATATATATATATTGCGAAGCTCTTTTTTTCATATTTTTTAGACACTCATTACCTTTAATTTTACCCCTTTAATTGTTTCTAAAGATCTTGTATAATTAGTAATCTATGTTCATTTATAGTATATTAAAATTAATTAGACACTTTTCGAATAATATTAAGTTAATTTGATTGAATTTCATTTTAAAAATAGAAACAATAAATAAAATTTTAACTTTAATAAGATAATTTTCTTAGAAAATAACAAAACATTGATTTTTTTTATTTATTAAATTTATTTAATATAATTTTTTAGATTTTAAGTGTCATTTATTCTATTTCGTGTAGAATAAAAAATTCACGGAAAAAGAAGCAAACAAAAAAAAAAGAAAGAAAAAAGAAAAAAAAATGATTTTAACATTTTTATAGAGGCCCCGAATTCAATGTAATTTTAAACGGAATGTAACGAACAATTATTTCAAAAATTAGTTAAGATGCAAGAACATATTTTAAGTTTACCGAGAGCCGAGATGGCTCAGGAGATAGAGCGTTCGCCTTCCAATGAGATGGACCGGGTTTGAATCCCTGCGATGGCTGGTCGATGCGAAATGCGCATCCGACTTGCATCGAACACAGTGCTTACGGGAAATATCCTCAGTGGTAGACGGATCATGCATCCCTTTGCCGTCATGCTGTACGTGGGAGGTTCTCGTGGTCTTCCTCTCCATGTAACACAAATGCGGGTTAGTTCCCTCAAAAAGTCCTCCACGAAGGCAAATTTCTCCTAATACTTGATAAAGGAGTTCCCTTGTCTTTTGGATTGGGTTAAAAATGACAAGGCTGCGGAGTTGAACATTAGAAGTCGTAAGTCCAAAAATTGGGTCTGCTGTTCAACGACAGTTATAAGATATAAAGTAAAATATTAAATATATAAAACAACAAGAAGAGGCGACATCAGCCCTACCCTACAAAAAAATCGCGAAACATTGCAGCATAAAAGCGCCAAAATAATGTGAAACAAAAAACGATTACGAACTTTTTTAAGTAAAAACTCTTTAATTTTAGTAAAGTATGTTCTTTAAATGTTTTTAAGTAAGCCTATAAATTTTGTATTTGTTAAATATATTAAACTCATACCTACTTTTTTCTTTTTTTTTATACCATTCGCTTTAACCGAGTTTTTCCGTTATCCGAGTTAGTCGTGGACCACATTAATTCGGATAATCGAGACTCTGCTGTAATTTCATATCAAGTTTTCCCGCGCATCAAAGGAGAAAGTTCTTCTTATTCGGTGAACTCGATCGCTGGAAGAAAAATCGTCTGCTGGCAACCCTGAAAAGAATTGCGGGCAAACGATTTCATTCAAACATTCTTTTCATAAGAGGAATCGCATTTGAATGCGGCGGCGATGTTTGAAAATCGTCTTGCGGATATCGCTTGTTGCGGAAGTCATCATCGGATAGACTAGTGGAAATAAGTGTAAAGATGATGCACATGAGGAGTTGTAGTGGATTTACGGATTTAAAATCCGGGAGTATCATCGTTTGTCACTATGCCATGGTAAGTTATAATTTATTATCAGGCTTAAGAACAAACAAACTGGATCAATGTATTTTATAGTCTCGATTAAGTACGGACAAGAGTAACATTCTTGCATTTATACCCTATGTATTTATTTACATTTGAAAAATATTTAATTGTTAATTGAAAATTATTAAAAGGACGTATATTACGTATATTAAGTAAATTTAAACTTTTAAAATTGATCAAAGAATTGTAAAATTTTAAATGAAAAGAAAAACTTAACAGTAAAGAAAATGGGATATAGTATTTAAAAGATGGTAATATTTTTATCAAAAAAGAAATTTCAAATTGATAATATTGTAAACCATTTAAAACATATGAAATTGTTATGGGAACACGGAGGACTTTGTGACCCGACAGAGCACCAGTAACAACACCGGGAATTTTTCGGCAGACTGGGTTCGAACTCCTAGTCACGAACGTGAGGCCAGCCAACCAGGCTCTCCCGGGCACCATGTTAACTTCGAAATAAACTTTATCATAATAATCTAAATAAACTTTAAATAAATATAGGAATCTCAGTGAAACCTATAATGAAGTATAAACATCTTGCAGCTTTGAAATAATATAAAATAGTGTTTTTTAGACGAGAATAAATATTTAATATTAACCATCGTTCTATTGACACATGGTTATGATTGTATTGCATCACAAAATATTCTTGCAATGTCGGTTTGCTAGAATGAACCATAAATAAGCATTTTCTAGCACCAGCAAAATTTGCAACTGATTTAAGAAAAAAGGAGGAAAAAAACGAAACGAATTGTTTAGGCAGTTTGGCCACATTATCTAATGGCATATTTCATCATTTTAAAAGTCTTGTTTAACTGATCAAACGATTCTCTTGGGAATTTTGTACTTTAAAATGAGATAAGTTAAATCAGTGTGAATATTTAGCAAACAAAATAATAAAAAAAGAATTTTTTTCATGGAGTTATTTTTGAATAAACTACTTTTATGAAGGTGTGCAAAATGTTCTTGGGAATCATTTCAGTAATTCCAGAAGTATGTCAAAATACGCAGAAAGTGAAATTAACGTTAAGGAATCCCAACTAATCTGCCTAATATTATTGGTACCATATTTTCCAGATCGCTAATGCTCACTTCCCCCCCCCCCTATCAGGAATCCGTTGATTAAAAGATGCGTTAATTCAGAGAAAGTGCATTTTTGTGTTTTATGTCATAACTTAAAATAGAGTCCTCACAATTTTTATATTTAAACTATACCAAATTTTAAGTTATTTTATAGCCGTTGTTAAACAGCCGATCCAATTTTTGGTTTACGACTACAAACGTTTAACTCAGTAGCCTTGTAATTTTGAACCCAACACAGAAGACAAAGGAACTCCTGGATCAGGTATAGGGAGAAATGTGCCTTCGTGGAGTACTTTTTGATGGAACTAATCCACATTTGCGTTACGTGGAGAGGAAGACCATGATAATCTCCCACGGTTAGCCAAACGGCAAGGGGACTCTAACCCATGATCCATGTACCACTGAGGATATTTCACGTCANCGATATTGCACAAATTCATGAAAGCGGACCCTGGTTGAAAGAATGTGAGTAGTTTTTTCACAATTTCACGAAAAACGGACCCTTCACAAAATGTCTGGACAGACCCCTGCTGAGATTCGAACCCGGTTCACCTCATTGGAAGGCGAACGCTCTATCCCCATCGCTGCTCAAATTTTAAGTCATGTCTTCAATCCATTAAGATTAGTCGAACAAGAAAATTCGATCATTTGATAAAATTTTATTCCGAATGTTCACTTTCTGATTTCGCGTGTTGTACTGTGCGCGAAAGAAAAAAAAGATATCACCCGGAATAACTTTCGTTCTCATGATCGAATTTTTACGTACTAAGCGTCAATCTCTTAATGGTAACCTGAAATATGGTAGTTATTTACAGCTAACTATCAATTAAGTTACGAAATAGGAAACAAAAAACGTACTTTTTCTGAATAAACATATAAATGTATATTTTTGAAATATTTGGATTCTTCATCTTCAAAATGTAGGGTGTAGCAGCAGCACCCCATAATGCTAAATTTACTTTTTGCGTTTTTAGTCGTATTTTTAAGACTAATTCATAAAGTAAAAGGGAAAAAAAACACTCACTTATAAAACCTATTTACCCAAAGATAATTTCACGCAAAAAAAAGTAATTTTTACTAGTTATTAATCATTATTTAATTTAATTATGGATGGAAAAATGTTTAATTATGAGGTATCATTTTTTAATAATCCTCATATGTTTCGATTGTTTCAACTGTTTTAATTTAGTAGAAGCTGAGAAAAATTAAAATTAATTATTAAAAAATTAATTTGGCTCACAATGAAGAAATATAAAAAAAATGAGGTGATTAATATTTAAATGCGTTTAATATTAATATAAAATTTACGAGGAACAAGTAACATTTACTAATTTCTTCAATTATAATTTGAAAAAAAAGTATCGTGAATTATACAAAACCTTGTGAATGTGCATTGCGATCTCTTACCAGATATTTTACAATTTTTACGGGATCTTTTCCGTGACTTGCCCTACAACTCTGTATAGAATTAAAATAAAGCAAATTTGGTTTTAGTATAAAATCTTCATATTTAAATAAGTTAAAAACAACTTAAGTTCAATTTTTCAAGCACTGAAATCTTATAATTATAATTATAAATAATTTATAAATCGATTCAAATGTTATTTTTAAAGGAGGTAAAAACGAAGGCAATCTTTGCTTTTTTGGCAGAAATTAACTAAAAATAAATCCGTTGCCTAGAAACTTCAAGATATTTTTCTATTAACCATAATAAAAAAAAGTCCTTTCCTCCACTAGCGAATTCAGTTTTTATTTCATTCTTTTTTATTCTCTCAGCTTGGTTGCTTAGCAACGGAGTATTTCTCTCTAGTCGATTACGCAGTTTGATTATAGTAGTATTAAATTTCTCATTCTTCTATGGCAATAGTTCTTTTCCCCTTTCTTTTTTTTTCTTTGGCCGATGCCAAACATATATTACTTTATGAATCTACATTTTTTTATCCAATTTTCCCGAACTTTTGTCTGCTCCCCCCCCCTATTCCCCTATTCTGAGGTTTAGGAATACAAATACGCAAAAAATATGCATGTTTCTTTTGAGAATCTATGTTTGTTTGCGTTTTTGTGTCGATTTCGTAACTTAATTAATACTTAGCACTAATTAGCATATTTGAAGTCACTCCCAGAAACCATTAAGATTGACATTCAGACGCGAAAATCCGATCATTAGAGCGAAAGTTATTCAGGGTGAAAATTATGAAAATGATATGAAATTATTTATATTTAAAAAGAGAGAGAGAGAGAACTCGTTAAAATTTTCAAAATGGCTTAAAATTATTCATATGTAAGAAAAGTTGAATTGTCAAAAAATTGGAATTTATGAAATTGACAAAAATTTCCTTTTCAGATAAAAATCAGGAAATATTTTTCAATTTCTTTTTATGCAATATCGTCTCTACCTTTCAAACATTGAAAAGAATAGATCATAGACTCATTCATTATTTAATAATAAATGCGTCTAAGAAGCTGTGCCTTTTCTACTTATTAACAGTTTGCGCCATTTTCGAAGGAATTCGTGCTGGAAGTCGAGCACTTTAAGGTAAAACAGTTTAACGAGGACCGACACCGTGCCCCTTCGGTCCCTGCGCAGGCTGATCAGTGGCGCCATCTATGGCCAAGAATTCGATTTCTGTCACAACCTTACATCACACCCGTTTATAGAGCCGTGGTGGCTCAGGGGATAGAGCGTTCGCCTTCCAATGAGGTGAACCGGGTTCGCAATGGCTGGTCGATACGAATCCCGTACCCGGCTTGCACCGACCACAGTGCTGACGTAAAAATATCCTCAGTGGTAGACGGATGATGGGTTAGAGTCCCTTTGCCATCAGGAAAACCGAGGGAGGTTCTCGTGGTCTTCCTCTCCATGCAATGCAAATGTTCATCAAAAAGTCCCGAAAATTGAAATAGTAAATAAAAGAGGTGAATTTTATTTCTATTTTAAATATGTTTATAACGACAATTTGAATCTTGACAATTGCAACGACTGTGCGTTGTCAGATAGTTTACTTTATATTTTGATTTAAAATATGTATCTAGAGTTTGCCTACTTATTGTTAAATCAACTGAGAATTTTTACAAGGAAAAAAAGAGAGAATGAAAATACAATTGCGTCATTGAACCGTGAATTTAACACGTAAATTGTGAGAAAAGGAACTTGTGGTAGAGACTAGATATTTCTGTAACAAAAGGGTAAAGAAGATACATATAAAATAACAAAATAATTTTTTTGTGTAATCAGGCGGATAACTTGGTCGATGGTCTCTCACACATGTTTGCCTTTTTAATCATAAAGTCTTCAGATTGTAAGAGGGAACTAAGGTGAAATGATGTTCATTTTTCAGGTTTTGCATTGATGCACAGTGACAGTTATGATTAAAAATATGACAGTTATGATTAAAAATATTTTAAATTCAGAATCTTTTTCGTATAATATTACAGTCGGACACTTTTATTTAACGAACTTTATTTAACGAACATATTGGAAATTTCTTCGTAAAATAAACTTCCAAATAGCGAAGTGAACTTTATATTTAACGAACTTTTCCTTGAGATCTACTTTCCCTATATCACAAAATATTTCGGAACATTTCAAACTTGTTAATGCATTTAATATGGGAAATGACCTTGAATTGATTTTCGAAGACATTTAACTTATAGAGAAAGCAGTAAAATCCCTTGCTTTTTTGTTAGCATTTCAAAATAAAAACTCAGACAAAATGAACGGATTTCATCAGTAGTTATTAAACATAAGAAAGCATGTGGTTAATGTATGTTTAAAATTACTTTTATGATAAAAGCAGCTATAATTTATCTTGCTTTAATTGAAAATGTATGTTTTGCTCTATACTTGCTTTCCATGCAGATTTCTTTCGTGAATAAGATTT